AAAAGTCGCGACTCACCGAGTCAGATTTCTTCTTGGCCGCCGCAACGGACTTTTCTGCCTTCTGAGCCTTGAGCTCGGCCTTGGCCGCCGCAACACTCCGCTCGCGACCAAGGGTCGCGGCCACCCTGCCCAACTCACTGCGTGGAGTCTTGGTAGTGGCGGGGGCCGCCTGGGCAACCTAGAAAAGAAAGAAAAACGAGTTAGTCGACGTCTGGGAACCAAGTCTGTGTCTCACCTTAGCCACTGGGGTCGGGGTAGTCGTCGCTCGCGGGGCGCTCGCCTTGCGACTGGCCTCCACCTTCGGCACCGGATGGGGAGGCACGGATTTGGTCGACTTGGATGATCCATCCGCGACCTTCTTGATTGGCTAAAAAGCTGGATTAAGGGGCGTGGTCTGGGAAAAAGGAGCCGGCTCACCTTGGGCTTGACGCGGGTCTCGCTGACCTGCTTCTTGGCCACGACGAAATCGCCGGTCTCCTCCCCACTTTCGGAAGTGTCGTCCATGACGATAACGGACGGGGCTACGAAAGTATGAGTAATCGACAGAGGGGGCAAGAGGAAGAACGCACTCAAATTTGATCGCGCTTTCCCCTTGGACTTGGGCCCCTGTCAAAAACAAACCAACCATGAGACGAAGGAATCGCGATCGACGAACTGGGTCACTTACCTGAAGGGCCAGCTCGTCGGCCGATGACGCGTCTCCCTCCTGGACCCCCTCGTCGTCGACATCCATCGCAGTGTCGGCGACGGCGGCGGCTTCCTCATCGCTGAGGGACTCGGGTTGCACGGGCTGTGCTTGGATCCGGGCTGGGAGGGACCAGGTGGTTAGTCTAAAGATCAATGAAATAAGACATAGGATTACACACCTACGTGCGTCTTCTTGTGAACGCGCTTGGGAAGTGACCCCTGTGGAATAGGGACCGAGGTAGCGGCTACGACAAGTCAGTACCCGCGACTCTGGTGAATGAAAGGAAAGAGCGACTTACGAGTAGGCGCGTGGGACGACGCCTTGGGCTCCTTTGCAGGAGTCGCCTTGGGTCGCTTCCCCTGCGACTTCTCGCTCGACTTCTTGGCGACGGCGACCTTGCTGCCCGCGACGGCGGCAGGGGCCTGCGGCTTGGAGCCGTCACCCTTCCCCTTCTGCTTGGCAGGCCGGGACGACGAAGGGGCGGCGACTTGTTCGGTTGGAGCCGCCTGGGGGTCGATCAGAACATAGTGAACGAATGAAACAGATTACACGTACGGGTTCGACGACTCGCTTGCGTTTCTTGGGCGGCGACGACTCCTCGACTGGAGCGTTGGTGGTCAAGGGCGCAGGCGCCGGCTAGCCCTTACGTTAGTGAAAAGAATGGAAGGCCAAAGCGAACAGACGCGGCAATCATTGATCGCCGTGACTATTCGCTCCAGCGGGCTTAAGACGGAGCTCACCTGTTGGATCTGGCGGACGTCGACGGCCATCTGCCGCAACATCTGGTTATAGGCCTCGGGGCTAGGCAGGTGGTGAGTTGAGTCGACAAGCCATGGGAGAGACCTTGACGGACGGCATGAACTGCCGCCAGTCGATGGCAGGCAGGTTTGCTCCCGGGACAGCTGATTCGGTGACGGCTGATGGACGGTTAGCGTGGTTGAAAAGTCGCGGTAATCGCCTTGGGCGTCACTCACGGTTGGTGTCTTGGGGGCGGGGGCTCTGGTCGGGCGCGGACATGGTGGTCGAAAAGCAAGAGTGTCTCGTACTAGGGAGACTCTCGACCCTGAAAATTGAGGGCATTTATATGGTGAACATGCCGGAAGAAGTTTGATCGCGGCAGATCACGGAAGGAACCGAACAACCAAATGAATAAGACGTGGGAACGTAACTCTATGTCTCCGCGGCTTTAATAATAAATGAACGAGACGTCGACTGTTGGACTTAGACCTGACGCAGTGAGACTGTCGCGGGATTGACCAGGAGGTCAAAATTAGTGTTCCTGGGAGATGATAGGCTGGCTACCAGACGCGCTCTGCACCAGCTCTGTAAGGGCGTATTTTTGCGCTTTTTACAGAGTTTACTCTTGAACCATTCGGTGTATCGTGTCGCGGTTGACAGTGTTGCGCTCAGTAGGACTTAAGGGTCTACTGCCCAGTCAACGACTGTGGATAGTGTCGACGATAGCAAGGCAGTCAGACCACTACTGTGGAACTGGTCTTATGGGTCTACACCAGGCTCAGGGCCATTAGTGACGAACGCTTGGACCGCGACCATTCCCCAAAAAGGGATCTGTCGTTGCGTCGACTTCTCGAAAAGGGTCATTCTCTGCAGATGGGAACTTGGGCTGAAGGGCTGAGCAATGCGCGACGTTCTCAATAATAGAACTACTACTGGACAGGACTTGGCGTTACGAGACTTAAACCATCTTGTCGCGGCAACTCCCGGTTTTGAGTTGGACGTTTCCTCAGATCATGCCACGACGACGACTTGTCACATGTCAGGATCCATTCGATCACGGGACATTGTGGACGCGTTGCGGTGACACTTCCAAGTGTCACGGCGAGTCGCGTCCATACCCAAACACACTAGAAACCGACACGGCTAGATCCGTGAACCGAACCATGTGGGGGACGACTGGTGTGCCTAGGGCCATACGGCTTCTTGGGGCGCCCACGTTGGTCTCACTTGCCAAGACATACCCGTTGGCCAATCCAACACGTCGTATTCCAAAAGTATGACGCGGTGGGTTGACCCACATCAAAAGTATCATAGGGACAATGGGGCGGGGTCCTGATCACTCAGGACCTGTCCGATCGTTCAACTTTTCAATTACCCTAAAAGGCAACCGATCTTAGATAGCGTAGCTACTATGCAGTTGTACAGGACTTTACTAAGCAGCGTCGTAGACAGTATAAGTAGCACGTCGTTTCTTTGTATTGGGGAGCTTTTCCCGGACTGTGAATCACTCTCATTTCAGATTGTTTTGTACAATTTGCGTGCCGCGTGATTCCACCCTAAGAAGTTCTGCCATCCCTGCCCGGTCGCGACGAGTTGCTCCCTGAGCACTTGTAGCTACTGTGATTTGAGTTTGAGTTGAGATATCAGAAAGTCGGATTCGCCGCATCTGGTATAGTCGCGGCATTTAGTGTCGTCGCCTTCGGGCTTTGTTGAGATCGTTCCACACCTCTAGCTTGGCAGTGCGTCGACTAGTTGTGCTCGGGTTGTTTTGGTCAGTTGGCAGTGCGTCGACTTGAGAACTTTGGTTCCACACTTCTTGCTTGGCAGTGCGTCGACAAGTTGTGCTCGGGTTTTGGACATTGGATATTGGCTGTTAGTTGGCAGTGCGTCGACGCGGCATTTCGGTTTACTAGTTGGCAGTGCGTCGACTCAGTACTTTTGGTTGTGTCAGTTGGCAGTGCGTCGACTCGACATTTTGGTTTACTAGTTGGCAGTGCGTCGACTCAGTATATTGGTTGTATCGGTTGGCAGTGCGTCGACTTGATATTTGGGCTTTGCGTCACCATCTAGACGCTGTCGCTACAAGGGATCTTAATACTTCGTATTAAGCTCTGACTTGTTATATTGTTGTTTGTGGATTGGATTAGTGTTGGTTGTGCTCGTATAGAAGATATTGGTTGAGATACCATTGTTTGCTATATATAAATTCTTGTCGTCGACTTCGTCTCCGCGACTATTGGATCTGCGTCTATTGAGAGTTGTGATACTGGTGCTCTGTCCACCCCGAAGCCCTCGCATCTTTCACACACTGAGAAGCTGATTACGAGGAGTGTGAACGTGTTTTATATTTGGGTTTACTTTCATAGTAGATTCACTTGTGAGCACGCCCTCAGCATTTCATCGGGCTGCGGAGTGGCGAAAAGAAGGCGGCCTGCTCTACTTCCGTGGCAAACTGGTGGTTCCACGCAACAACAACCTCCGCCGACGCATCCTCGAGCAGCACCACGACACCCGCGTCGCAGGGCATGCCGGCCGCTTCAAGACGTTGGAGCTGGTCTCTCGGAACTACTGGTGGCCCCAGTTGTCCCGACATGTCGGCCGGTATGTGGCCACCGGCGACCTGTGCTGTCGAACCAAGGCGCTCCGCCAACTCCCAATCAGGGAACTCCATCCCACGGAGGTCCTTTCGGAGCGCTGGGAAGCGGTGTCGGTTGACTTCATTGTGCATCTGCCAGACGCTCACGGGTATGATGCTATCATGGTCGTTGTTGACATGCTTGGGAAGCGCAGCCACTTTATAGAGTGCCACACCCGGCTCTCCGGTGAAGGTGCCGCCAGACTTTTCTACAAGAACGTCTGGTGCCACCATGGGCTGCCTACTAAGTATGTCTCTGACCGCGGCTCTCAGTTCATAGCGGAGTTCACGCAGGAGCTGTGGAAACTGGTCGGTGTCTCATCGGCAATGTCTACCGCTTGGCATCCACAGACGGACGGCCAGACCGAGCGTGTGAACCAGGAGCTCGAACAGTTCCTCCGGATCTTCACCAGCTACAACCAGGACAACTGGGACGAGCTGCTTCCAGCCGCAGAGTTTGCCTACAACAACCATGTTCACTCATCCACGCAACAGGTCCCATTCATGACAGATACCGGTCGACTCCCTCTTATGGGCTTCGAACCGAATGGACTACGCTCAGCTGTGAACGAGTCGGCAAATGACTTCCGCGACCGCATCGCGTCCGGAGTGGCAGAAGCCAAGTCGGCACTGGTGAAGGCAAAGGATGAGTACAAGCAGTACTACGACCGCCGGAGGGTCTCGGCTCCAGACATCAAGGTCGGAGATCGAGTCTGGCTTGACGCTTCGGACATAGCAACAACGCGCCCGTCCCTCAAACTCTCTCACCGATGGCTGGGTCCCTTCAAAGTCACCCAGGTTGTCGGGCACGGCGCTTACAAGCTCGACCTCCCCCGCCGCCTCTCTGGTCTCCACCCGGTCTTCCCTGTCGTCAAGCTGCAGCTCGTTGAGGATGACCTGTTCCCAACACACCCGGTTCGCGAGGAGCCGCCGCCGGTCATGGGCCAAGGAGCTGGCGAGGAGTGGGAAGTTGAAGAGGTTCTGGACGCCAAGATGCGCTATCAAAGCATTTGGTACTTTGTGCGGTGGAAGGGCTATGATTTGTCGCACGACCAGTGGGTAAAGCACTCTGACATCTTTGCAGAGGACGCTTTAGCGGCATTCTACCGCAAATACCCCAGCAAGCTGCACATCATTGCTGTCGCCCTCTTTGACTCCCTCCCATTCCAACACCCCTCTGCCACCATCCGCACGTTGCGTCGAGGCACCGCAATCCAAGGGGGGGGGTGATGTCAGGGGAACCCCCTCTTCTGATTGATCAGCTTGGGATCTGGCATGTGATCGTGCTTGCGTGACCTGTCAGCTGTCACGTACCGCGGCCCGGACTGCCGCACCAAGCGCTTCTCTCTGATGAGCACATGGTCAGGTGTCCCATTGTTCCCATTGTCTCGGTTTCCTATTGTTCTCCAACGGCCATTGTACTTATTGTTCCCATTGTTCTTTGTTTGTCGCTGCGCAGTCTATTGTTCTTGTATCATATAAATAGTGGCGCCTGGCAAGGAGAATCCCCAACACGGTTTCTCTTTGGATTCTCCCTTGCCAGGTATGCCGGTCTTGTACCTAGCTACCACTGTTATTCACCTTTGGATTCTCCCTTGCCAGAACTTTGAGATCGGGTCTCGAGGTTGCCCTTACACTCGCTATCACAAAATGAGCAGGTCAAACTCGACAAGTTCTTACAAGAGAACCTGACCAGCGGACGGATCAGGCCATCGAAATCACCCATGGCATCAGCATTCTTCTTTGTCAAAAGAAAGGATGGCTCGTTACACCCCGTCCAAGATTACCGGAAGCTGAATGAGATGACAATCCGAAATCGATACCCGCTGCCGCTGATCTCCGAACTGGTCCATAATCTATGCGGCGCCAAGTTCTTCACGAAGCTTGACATCCGGTGGGGATACAACAATGTATGGATCAAAGAGGGCGACGAGTGGAAGGCTGCGTTCTGCACAAACCTCGGACTGTATGAGCCCTTGGTCATGTTCTTTGGCCTCACAAACTCCCTGGCAACCTTTCAAAATATGATGAACAACATACTCCGAGAACTGATCAACAAGGGTCACGTGGTAGTTCATCTTGACGATATATTGATCTCCACAGAAACCTTGAGCGAACATCGGCGAATCACAAAACGAGTACTCGAATTGCTCCAAAAACACAAGCTATACCTGAAACCCAAAAAGTGCGAGTTCAAACACACGGAAATCGAATATTTGGGTGTAATTATTGGACACAATTTGATGCGGATGGACCCTGTCAAGATCAAGGGCGTGATGGAATGGCCAGAGCCAAAGAGCGTCAAACAGGTCCAAGCCTTCCTCGGATTCACAAACTTCTATTGGTGCTTTGTCCGGGGATACGCGGAGGTTGCCAAGCCATTGACAGGGCTGACAGGGAAGGCAGGATGGTCATGGGGTACAGATGAGCATGCGGCATTTGATGGATTCAAGAAGAGAATCGCGGAGGATGCGGTCCTAGGTCCTAGCACTGCCAAATGACACCGGCCAATATCGTCTGGAAGCCGATGCCTCGGAAGGGGCAACAGGATCTGTCTTGAGCCAAAACCAAGACGGCATTTGGCGCCCAATCACATTTATTTTGCACGCATTGACCGAAACCGAGCGAAATTACGAGATCTACGACAAGGAAATGCTCGCAATCATGCTATCATTGGACGAATGGAGGCAACTACTGATGGGAGCCACGGAAACGTTCGAGATCTTCACCGATCATCAGAATCTTGAGTACTTCTGGAAGCCGCAGAAACTCAATCGACGGCAAGCACGATGGATCACGGAGTTGGCGGAGTTCGATTTCACCTTACGACACCGACCCGGCGCACTCAACCGCAAGGCGGACCTCCTGTCCCGACGAGCAGATCACGATCAGGGCAAGAACGACAACAAGGACGTCACGCTACTGAAGCCCGAGTTCTTCCGATCACAAGAAGTCACATTCGAGGGACAGGATCAGCAGCTAATCGATGAAATCAAGGCCATTTGATCGATTGATGGAAATGTCAAGGCGGCCTTAGGGAAATCACTCGTTGGATGGAAAAAAAAAGATGGACTCATCACATATCATGGGAAGCTCCATGTACCAAGGGACAAGGAGCTGCGGGACAAGATCATTGTGCTACACCACAACACACCTTTGGTCGGACACGCTGGGATCAACCAAACGCAGGAGATGGTGGAAAGGAACTACTGGTGGCCAAGGATGGGGAACCAAATTCGGAAATACATCCAGACGTGCAAGGCATGCCAATGGACCAAGACCAGGAGAGCAAGGATGAGGACTCTGCACCCGCATGCAGTTCCAAACGCGCCGTGGGAAATCATCTCCATGGATCAAATCGGACCCTTGCCGGTCAGTAACGGGTATGACGCAATTCATGTGTGGTGTGACACCTTCACCAAAATGATCCATGTCGAACCAATTAGTACTGACATCAGCAGTGAAGGAGTCGCACGGTTAACCAGGGACCGAGTCTTCCACTATCACGGGATCCCTTGCAAGATCATTACCAACAGGGACTCACGTTACATGAAGGGTTTCATGAAGGAGACAAATCGGATGTTGGGCATGGATGTCAGGGGACGCCGCGCTCCTTGGGCACGTGACCATGCACGTGACCCACTGCGCCCTCTCTGCCAACCCGTGCCTGCTCACCTGTCAATCACCCGGCTTCCTCCTCCTCCTCCAATCCTCATCTCCATCCATGCCAACATCTGCCCTCTTCCTCATTCTCCTGGCCATCTCCTTCGAATCCCCACAAGCAGTCTAGCCAAGCCCGATTCCTTGCACCAGGGAGTGCTACTGCTGTACGCACTCCTCCCCCTTCACTTCGGCCTTCTCCCCGCAGATGTGGTCTACTGCCATACAGGCTCATACCAGATGCCCTTGCACGCATCCGCACCACCCCTCTTCCCAGTCGTGCATCGGTCCTTGCCTCCAATGTCTCCACTGGCCGGCCCAGCACTGGCCTGGCTGCTGGGCTCCTCCAGTGTGGCCTTCCACTGTTGGTGTCTCAGGAGCTGGCCATCACTGGCCCCTCTGAGCCACTCACTATCTTATCTGGGTTTGTCATTTTCTACTTGTCATCTGCCATTGTTCCATGGCAGTGATATCCCATCATCATCAGTCACTTGTCACAGCTGACTATATAGTGTGACACCTGGGCACATGGATCCTTGAACCGTTCTCTAAGGATCCCCCTCTGTGCTCAGACTCATGTGATGTTGTTGTGTGCCATGTGCTCTCTTCCTTTGGGCTGGCAGGAGTTGCCCTTACACATCACAGTGTGAATATTACAATCATAGTGGGATTCCTCAAATCACATGAACAAACTTTTTGTCATTGCTCCAAGAACAATGTGGCAAAAGAGCATGATTCCATTGTAGAACCAGCAATTGTGACAATCAACCCAAAAACAAAGTCGAAAAGAGAAGTGAATTCGAAGACTGGAGAATACAACCAAATAGCTACAGTATTTATACTCAAATCCAGTCTGAGTCATATCTACAACTAATGAGTCATAGGGCTATGTACCGCATGGAGCACTGGTCATGGGTTGTAGTAGAACCTTCCGGAGCATATGTCGCGCAGCCTCGAATCGATAGAGATAACCCCTGGAACCCCTAGCCCGGACCGTCTGATGCCGTGATCCGTGATAAGATAAGTCGTGCCAAGATAAGATGAAAAAGAGTCGAATTATGACATTACCCCCTCTCTAGGGTCGATGTCCTCATCGACTAGGCCAATGGGCGTGAAGACGTTTTCGTACGGGTCAAAGAGTTGTCGCTGGGGATATGGAAGGCGCTCGTTTTTGGGTTTGTAGCGATGGATGAGGTAATCCCAATGTCCGGCTTTGAGAGTTGGCAGGAGGCGAATGCGTGTGTCTGTGTTGGATTGTTTCCTCTGCCAATCTCTCAGGACCTTCTTCGCGTGGGTAAGGTGACGTGATGGTTCCCAGGTGTTTTCGCTATGCGGCCATCCCTTCCATTTGACCAAGTACTGTTTTCCTCGGCCGACGTTTCGCTCTTTCACGATCTCTTCGACTTCCCACTCCTCTGCTCCTCCGATCATCTTGGCTACAGGCCTCTTCTCTCGGCGATGGGGGGGTGGTTCGTGATATGGTGTCAATAGTGACTCGTTGAACACCGGGTGTCTTCGGTCCGTGTCCGGCAAATCCAGCTTCCACGCGGCCGCTCCAACCTTCTCCAGTATTTCGTATGGCCCTAGTCTCTTGTCGCTCATCTTTTTTGATGGTCGATCCGTCTCGATATTTTCCCCTTCTATGTACACCTTCATCCCAACCTTCAACTCCGGAACTTCTTTTCTTTGTTTATCGTAGTATTTTTTCATTTTTTCTTTTGCTTTTTCTAGTGCTGTTTTTGCTTCGTCTTGTATTTCTTTCATTCTTTTTACAAATTCCTCCGCCGACTCGTTTCTCGACTCCATCCGTTGCTCCACTCCCTTCCATGGGTGATATCCGTGATTCGCATAGAATGGCGATATTTTGGTAGATGTGTTCATTTTATCGTTATATGCGAATTCTGCCATCCCTAGCCACTCCGACCAGTCCGTCTGATGGTAGTTGACGTAGATGTGGAGATAATGCTCGATCTCCTGATTCATGCGTTCCGTCTGCCCATCCGTGATCGGGTGATATGCGGTCCCCGGATTCATTTCCACGCCCAACATCCGATTCGTTTCCCTCATGAAGCCCTTGATGTAACGCGAATCCCTGTCGGTGATGATCTTGCGAGGGATCCCGTGATAGTGGAAGACTCGGTCCCTGGTTAACCGTGCGACTCCTTCACTGCTGATGTCAGTACTAATTGGTTCGACATGGATCATTTTGGTGAAGGTGTCACACCACACATGAATTGCGTCATACCCGTTACTGACCGGCAAGGGTCCGATTTGATCCATGGAGATGATTTCCCACGGCGCGTTTGGAACTGCATGCGGGTGCAGAGTCCTCATCCTTGCTCTCCTGGTCTTGGTCCATTGGCATGCCTTGCACGTCTGGATGTATTTCCGAATTTGGTTCCCCATCCTTGGCCACCAGTAGTTCCTTTCCACCATCTCCTGCGTTTGGTTGATCCCGGCGTGTCCGACCAAAGGGGTGTCGTGGTGTAGTCCGATGATTTTGTCCCGCAACTCCTCGTCCCTTGGTATGTAGAGCTTCCCATGGTACGTGATAAGCCCCTCTTCCTTCT